TGAAGGCGCTGAAGCCCCGACTGGCTTTCCTGGGGAAAGCAGCCAGCTTCGATCTATGGCTTCGAGCTCTAGGGTTTCTCAGTTAGCTCCAGTGAAGTCGGAAGGAAACCAAGGGTTAAATTTATCGAAGCCATTTTTGGGTATCCCAGAAAATAATCAGTACTACTGGGGTGGAAATACCTGGACAGATTTATCCGGTCTCAACTCTTCTTCCACCAGCCATTTCTTATGATAGATCATATTGATCTCTTGATTATCAGCACCATGAAGCTTATTACTAAAGCATTAGTTAGTATTGACACAAAGTTGCATGCATCTTCTAGTACTGAAGTACTACCATGACTTGCAAGTTCCAACCCGATTGAGAACCGGGAAATATTGGAACAATTTGTTTGAAGTTTTTTTTTTTTTTTCGTGTGTTTGGATAATGGTTTTGGCCTGTATTGTATGTATGGATTGTTTACAAGTTATTATCACAATTGACTTATTTTGCATATATTGTTCTTCATGCATTGATTAGCATCATCGCTATTCGCTGGTTCATTGATGTGAAAATTGAATGATTTATGTAACATTGCCTAATATTAGGGTTAATCTTCAAATTAATTAAGAAAACGAAAGAAAACTTGGTCGACAACTTATGATGAGCTGTCGATTAATGGTTATTAATGCTGCATGTTCCCTTTAACAGTTCTACCTTACATAGTTACATGATTATTCAAACTTGAATTTGTTTCCCTCTTCTTTGGTTTAACTGATCTTCTTTATCTTGATCGAACTCATTGAGCAAGCTAGCTATATATTGTATATATGATCATCTGTCACTACGTTGTGAGTGTGACATCTCCGAAACTAGTTAGGCAATGGTGGAACAACAGCTAGCTAGTTCAACAAGTACACTAAGGGCATTGAAGTTACGGTAGAGTTTCCGGATCCATCTCAGTATTTAAGTCTGTATAATTGTGAGTAGTTTCTCAGTCCACGTCTTTCTATATTAGGGAAACCATCTCAAGTCAAGAATGGTAGATCAACCATTACGTACCTTGTGCTAAAATTCTTCTTCTTTTCTTCCTCCTCTTCCTCCTTTTCTTCTTCTTCTTTGATGAATGTGTTCGGCGGGATTTTATTGAACATTAAAAGGAAGTCAAGTTACATTAGACACAAAGAGGGTCGCAAATTTGAGGAACACACTTATAAATATGAAAGTAGATGCATATATGTTCAACACAGCATAATCAAACTTATATCAAGAAGAAGGCATCTTCAGATGATCAAGAAATTATCCATGAGTACAAAAAACTTCCCTAGTCCAACCGAAAGTAAATGTTTAAATGAGCTACCAAGGAACACAAGAGTATAGAAATTCTAAGGAAAGAGTCTTCATAGTATTACAATGAGCTGGCACTTTAATTTAATTAGAAAAATATGAATGATCAGATTTGAACTCCTTAATGTTTGGCCATTAAAGTTTTGGCACTGGATATGTCAAAAAAATTACATCAGACCAAAATTTAATTTAAATGATTGTATAAGATCTTATAAACGAGTTTATATATGACATGTTTCCCGTCTGTGGAAGCTTCAAATATTATTTCCAAATGATTTGTATAATTCTCCATATTGTCCTTAATCTAATGAACTATTAATCTCTCTAGAAATCTATACTACTTCATGTGTATTTGATTGATTTTATGATAAGCTTTGTGGTTACGATTTGGAAAATAAATTTAAACTATAAATTATAACTTCTTTTATACAAGATTTGAAGAAAGAGTTTGGAAAAAAATAATGATGTGTATAAACACTTCATAGCTTCATGACCGACACTCCCCATTTCGCATGCTTTCCATATTCTTATAAATGAGTTTATGGATGACATGTTTCTCGTTTATGAAAGCTTAAAATATTATTTCCATGAGGTTTAATTCGTTATATTGTCCTTAATCAAGTCATGAACCATTCAATGCTCTTTAGAAATCTTTAATGCTTCGTGACAGAAACTCGCCGTTTCGCATGCTTTCTATATTCCTAGCTATTTATATATGTATTAAAACATGATTTCCAAGAAAGATCCTTGTTGTCTCATATTTTTAGGTGGTATATATATCTGCGGAGTTCGTCCTTCTTTTCAGTCTTCACTTCCCTAAAAAACTATTCGTTACATTAATTATATCAAAGAGGTTCGTATTTCTTTTTGGTCTTCACTTCCCTAAAAAACTGTTTTTTACTACATTAATGCTCCATGCCATCTAAGATATGGTGTGCATAGAAAGAGAGAGAGAGAGAGAGAATTATCATCGCATAGCAGTTTAATAATTTCATAATTATGTGGAAAGGACGTACGTCCTGCTTATCTGTGACTTCTTTTTTGTTGGGATGAAGTGAAAAACAACTACACACAATCTAAGAAAACGCCAAGAATCCCACTCAAAACCATGCAATTCTATTTTCAACAAAATCCATCTGTGAGAAGAGAAGTGTCCTAGAATTTCGTCAGAACAATAATGAAAGTTCAAACCTACTCGGTCAAAAGAAGGAGTAACACTTTTGAACCTTTTGTTTAGATGGGTCTGAGGACCCCTCTCCCCCCCCCTCTCTCTCCGAACCGAACCGATTACTATATAAAAAGAAAGTTATCATTGTAACTGCACAAATCCTCCACACTGATGATTGCATACTATATAGTGTAAAGTATTATAATCCAACTGGGTTTCTGTCGATGTGGTCTCATATAAAAAGAGCGGAATCAAGGATTGTTTTCTAGCTTTTGCAAGGACCAAGACTGTTGCCGCCTTGCAAGAACGAATAAAGCAAAGCAAAGCAACCAAGCCAGCTGCATATATAGACACAAGCCACAAAGAGCGCACAACCCTAGCTCTCCCCCCACCCACCCCCCCCCCCCCCTCCCCCCCATTTCCCCCCCAATCACCCAGCCATATTCTGCCTATCCGCATGGCAGTCCCTACTGCCTATTCTGCATAGAACGTAAGAAAGTGAAAACAGTTAAATTTTGATGCCAAAACTAGGAGGATACAAATGCTCCAGCTGATATAAAAGTCGATAAAGCAAATAAGAGAAAAAGAGGAGTGGTTGCTATTGTTGATGTGATGGTAATGTGTTGAATGTTAAGAATATAAGAAAGGAGAGCAAATGGAGGGGGGGCTCGGAGATCCACGCTTAATGTTGAGTTGTTGTTTATGACCACATAGATTGACGTGAGATGCTATCTCTCTAGATGTTAGTTTTGCCTCCACGTCTTCCCCTTACTTTTCTCCCTTCAACCATCTAGGTTCTGAACTCAATGATAACACTACACATTACAAACTAGTGTTATTACAACAGAATCTCGAAAGTCTCTGGTTACTGGTTTAGTTTAGTAGTCTGACTTGCAAGTTATCAGTTGGCCCGACAGGTCACAACTAGTATTTATATATATATATATTTGTTAGAACACTTTGTCTAAAGTTATCCTGCAGTTCAGTGGTTGCAGGCGACTGTGATATCAACTCTCGGGAAGGACCACTTCTTTTTTCCTCTTGTTTTAGGGGCAGGTTGAACCATTTCCGATATGACCGATTAAGGTTAGTCTGGTTCTTCCTGGTGTAACCATGTTGAATGCATAAACAATACTAATCACTAACTTGGACCAGTCTAGGATTCGATTCACCGGTTCTGAGTTGAACCGGCTGGTCCTGTCCGATTCCAATAATTGCCATACAAATCAAAACCAAATTTAACAACTCTTACACGATAAATGCAGTGATAACAATTATAATCTTATGTAACTTATTCTTATAAAATTTGTTATAACTTATCTGAAATTATTAGATAAATTTCATCTATTATATTGCTTAAGAAATACTGAGCTAATGAACATAAAATATATCAAGAAATTACGTGATATTTGACCTTATATGTTTTTGTTTACTACGTGGAAATTCTTTGACGGCAAACTCCAGGTGAATGGGCCAGCCGCATGCTAAACCACCAATAAATTCATGTAACTATTCCTTTGACTCTTTTTTTTCTTGATAATGAAGTGTTCCTTTGACTTAATTTTCTCTCTCTCGATGTTTCTTCGGCAATCTTCCTCTTTTCCTGGGATTCGAGGCATCTTTGGGCTTATAAATTTGAGTTTTCTTCTTGGCTTTTTTTTTCTTTTCTTCTTTTTTAACTTATGATACTTATAACCTAACGTTAATCACAGTTTGAAATGTGCTAGCTAAGCTCTCACAACCTTTTCTTTCTTTTGAATTCTCTCACGCTAGGTGTTAATTATATTTGGTTGATAATTGATAATATTGATGGTTTAAAGCGCATGGAATCCTTGATATTTGTAACAGTACTATGCAAAAATGAACCCTTTTTTTAATGGCTGCCAGCCCAAGCATAAGAGAAGAGATCAGTGGAGGGCACCCTTCACTGATGGAGTTCTCCAAAACAAATGAAAAATTAAGATGCAAACACTTATTGGATGACACGATATTTTACATCGGTTAAGATTCATGAACTTCACATGAAATCCTCTTGAGAGGCCAAGCATTTAGAGAATTTAGGTCAACATCATCATTGATATTGTCTATTGAAATATCAACTATACGTTGTCGATTTTCAAGCCCCTAAATTAAAGAAGCTACGATGACATTAATATAACACATCGATTAGGAGTCGGAGATATAAACAAGATATAATTTCATGTGCCACCTTTCTCTCAAGATATATTTTTAATTTATGATAAAATATATCTCACTATAAATATAGACTTGGAATAATATCTTTTAAAAAATCAACTATATAATGGATTGAATTTTTAAGTTGAATTAATTCTTTGACATTATATCAGAAACTTAATGATCAAGCAGTCCTAAGTTCAAATATTATTATCTTTATTTATTTGATAAAAATTAAACATAAAATAATATGAGTCTATATAAGTTTCAAGCCAATAGGGTTTTTACTTGAAAGATTGTGTCAGATAATAATACAAATCATATATTGAGATCTAACTTAATAATTTGAGCTTTTAAATTGAATTAGTTCTTTAACAAACGAATTGAATTAAGCTAAGGTATCTGTTTCCTTAAACTCTAGCATTTCAAAATCTAATGATTTAATAAAAAAAAACTAGATGAAATAATAGAAATTGAATCTTTGAATATTTATATGAAAAAAAGTAATTTTTATTTACAAAAAAAACTTATTTATTATAGGAAAAACTAAAAGAGATTAAGA